AGACGGATGTATGAATGCCAGTTTAGGCCCAATTCCACCAGCATCAGGGCTAAACCATCAATCGGACATCCCCTGAGGGGTCCCAGATTGGAGAGGGTGCAGGCTGGGTGAGGGACACCCCCCCACCACCACCAGTGCATGAATTTTGTGCACCGGGCCTCTAGTATTAAATAAAATTTTTAAAAAAGAGAAACACTCACAGGGATGAACACACAGGCAGGCTCGGAGGTGGCGGCCTTGAGCTGCATCCCTCTGCTGAAAGGTGGGGGGCACTGACGGGCAGGCTCTCCCATCTGTGAGGGCAAGTGTAGAGGCAGCTGCTGGAGGCCAGGCAGCAAGAGCAGGTGCAGGAGCAGGCAGCTGGCCACGTGGGGAGCCCCCAACTTCGGAGAGAGTCCTTGCCTCCTGCAGGGTGGCTGGACTGACCACTGAGCCCAGATTCTGTGCACAGTCAGGCCTGGGAGGCACCGTCCTGGCACCATTCGTTGGAGAGAAAACCGAGAAGGGCCCGGCCAACAGGAGCACCCACACCTGTGGGCACGAGGCCTGGGGAAGTGGGGTGTGGAGGGAGGGGTGGCCCTCATTGGAGGCAGGTGCTGCAGCTTCCACCTCAAAGGTAAGGACGGTGAATGAGCCTGGGGGAGGGAGGAAGGGGAGAGGGGCCTCAGGGAAGCCTGCGGCTCAGGGGTTGAGCATCGACCTATGAACCTAGAGTCATGGTTTCATCTGGGTCAGGGCACAGGCCGGGCTAGGAGAGGGGCCTCAGGGAAGCCTGCGGGCGAGGCCCTGCAGAGCCCCCCACTTCTCGCATCTCCCTCAACCTGAGGCCTGGCTGCAGAAGGCACCTGCCCATCTGGGCTGCAGGACAGAAACTACAGGAGCAGGCGCATGTGTGGCCAGGAGACCGGGGCCGGTGCGTGCTCCCGCAGGCGTATCCTGGGACCCAGGCACAGGCGCTGGACTCGGTCGGGGTGCTCTGAAGCCTGGAGCCTCCTATCCCATTTAATAAAGAGGTAATATGCAAATTGTCCATCAAGCCCTCATGTCACAACATGGCTGGCCCATGTCGTCACAAGACGACCACCCCACGTCATCACAAGATGGTCAGAAGGGGAGGGCAATTGGGGGTGACCAAGCCCGCAGGGGAGGGCAGTTGGGGGGGTGACAAGGCCCGCAGGGAAGGGCAGTTGGGCTGCAGCTGCCCACGCGGGCGGGCCTTCAGGAGACGCGACCTGAGATGGCGCCCGGCCTTGCTTCACTCCCGTCCTGGGAGAGAGGAGACGGTGCCCAGCCCGGTCCCAGCTGCAAAGGGGCTTAAGTCCAGAGTGGGGTGAGCATGGCCCCCACCCCAGGGGCCCGACAATGGCGGCCCTGCGATTCGGCCTCCCGGAGGCCGAGCATCCTGATGGCCACCCCCATGTGAACACAAGATGGCCACCACAAGATGGCCAGCAGGGGAGGGCAGTTGGGGATGACTAGGCCTGCAGGGAAGGGCAGTTGGTAGGGGGTGGGGGGGACCAAGCTGGCAGGGGAGCAGTTATGTGTCAATCAGGTTGGCAGGGGACTGGTTAGGGGCAATCTGGCAGCCAGGCAGGTAAGTGGCTAAGAGCCAGCAGTCCCAGAATGTGAGAGGAATGTCTGACTGCCTGTTTAGGCCCGATTCCACAGGGCCTAGTCCATCAGTCTGACTTCCCCTGAGGGTCCCTGATTGGAGAGGGTGCAGGCACCGGGCCTCTAGTATTAAATAAATTTTTTTAAAAAAGAGTGAGAAACACTCAGAGGGGCAATCGCCCAGGCAGACTCAGAGGTGGCGTCCTTGAGCTGCATCCCTCTACTGAAAGGTGGCGGGCGCTGACGGGCAGGCTCCCAGCTGCGCACGGGCAGGTATGGGGGCTGCTGCTGGAGGCCAGGCAGGGAGAGCGGGTGCAGGAGTAGGCGGCTGGCCCTGTGGGGAGCCCCCGCCTTTCAGAGAGAGTCCCCGCCTCCTGCAGGGGTCTCTGGCCCCTGGTGGGCTCATTCCAGGAGCACCCACACCTGTGGGCACAGGGCCCTGGGGGAGGAGCAGCCCTCATTGGAGGCAGGTGCTGCAGCTTTCAACTCAAAGGTGAGGACAGTGAGTGAGCCTCAGAGAGGGAGGGATGGGGGTGGGGCCTCAGTGAAGCCCATGGGCGAGGCCCTGCAGAGCCCCCCCACTTCTCGCATCTTCCTCAACCTTGAGGCCTGGCTGTACCTGTCCCACTGGGCTGCAGGACAGGACCTTCAGGTTGGGGTGCGAGTTTGGCGGGAGCCTTGGGCCGCATGACCCTGACTCTGACCCGTGACCTGACTCTGACCTGTGACCCTGACTCTGACCCCTGACCTGACTCTGCCGTGACAGGCAGGTGTCACTGACCTGCCTCCAGGCTGGGAAGCATTCTCCCTCCCTGACTGGCTCGGCGCTCTGAGCCTGCGACCTCCGAGTGGATTGGAAGGAGAGGAGCTGAGACGGCGACCGGCCTTGCTTTACTCCCGTCCTGGGAGAGAGGAGACAGTGCCCAGTCCTGTCTTGGCAGCCACGGCCTGAGCCCCGGACCCAGTGATGGGGTGAGCGTGGTCCCCTCCGTAGGACCGGGCCATGGCTGCCCTGCGATTCCACCTCCCGGAGGCCGAGCATCCC